CAAGTCTCCAATCTCGTGGGCACATCCGCCAACGAATGCTGCCTCCTCGCTCCAGCCCATGTCGCTGCGTTGATCGTCGACGTCCACGAAGTCGTTCAGATGTGGCGGGGACCACTGTCGGGGCGCCCCGACATGGTTGCGTCCCCCACAACCGCCTATGTCTCTTCCGCGAAAGCCACGGCTCACAGCCACATCGCGGTTCGTTTTCAATTCCGAAACAACCACGTTGTTAAGCGTCAAATGCAATCTTCGATCCCCGTCGAAAGATCGGCAAACCAATCCGTGAAACGCACTTTCAACTCTTGAAATCGATAGTCAATCTGTTGAAACCGATCGTTGAAGGTTGCATCACGTTGTTTGTTTGCGGCATCTTGTCGTCCCGGCGACATCGCGAATCGTATTGACTGCTGATACCAACTGATGTAGAGAAGCGTACGAGTGGGAAGGATACACGAGTAAACGAGATACTTTTTCGTAAAACAAGTAAAACTCAACAATATCTTTTATTCATTCAAACTCAACCACTGAATAGCAAAGAAGAGGAGTCCTTAAATAAGACACCCCAAACTTTAAAAGCTATCTTGTCCACCAAACCACTAAATATTTAAATACAATAATAATAATAATAATAATAATAATAATAATAATAATAATAATAATAATAATCTAGTCTACACCACAACATGAAGAAGCCGCCTCCGGTAGACGTCACGATTGCCGACAAGACAAACGAAGCTGTCAAAAGACACAAGCGGGCCACCCTTATACTATTTTTTATTTATTTATTTTATTTGGTTTAACCTACTTGTAGAGAGGGTATAAATATGTGGGTGAGAGCATGATGAAGCTCTCTCTCCCATCTTGTAAAAACACACATACATTCATAGAGATATACAAACAAATATATACATTTCTATGCTTTTTCTTCCAGAATCAATCGAAGAATTTTGAGTTACAGTTGATACAAAAACACATATCTACATTTATCTTACAAGGAAAAGATAAGGTAGCATTATTATTATGGGCAATAAAACATTACACAAATTGTCATTTGCCAGATGTCCAAACAAAGCACATCAAAATCACCACCAAACTTCAGTCACTCCCAAATTGATTTTTGGCCCACTAATCACAATATAAGTAGAACGATGACGTTTTATTTCTTATATATTAATAATAATATGAAATAACTCCATAATTAACACATCATAATTTGGGTAAAGAATGTATGATTGAATACAAACGAGTAAATCTTAACAAAATCTTTTGATAAGATGATGATATCTATTAATATATAATAAGGATTTACTTAATAAATTTTTAGAAACTATTTCTCGCCAAAAACATTAATTACTGTCTATAAATAGTAATTTAACAAAACAAACATTAATTACACATAATTTCTTTTTTTATATTAATTTAAAGGTACAAATAAAAAACTAATTACAAACGTACAAACTGACAACGTATCTACTTACCGAACTTTATTCCACGATTTTACAAAGTGTGGCACTTTTTTCCCTTTTTTGTGAGTCATGTTTTGCCTTCAAATAGTTTGCCACGTCACTAAAAATTGGATTATGATAGAGCTGGAAAATTCGATCCTACTCCATGGGTAATGTATTTTTACCCTGTTAGAATATCACTTGTGAGTTGTCACACATCGTTCATAGAATAGACCCACTTTATAAGGTTAATGAGCTACTCTTCATTCCACCAATTGGTTTGAGATGAAACTTCAGTTAGGCTTAATCTGGGCTTTTCCAGACTGCACTGTTTTCCCCTAATTTCTTACATGGTATCAGAGTTGGTTTTATTGAGACCGTGCGATGACGTACCCGTTTGTGGGAGTCTGCTTCCCCACGCACCAGTTAATGGGAACCTACTTCTAGTAGGCTTGAGACACCCAGATGGGCTTGGACTTATAGCCTTCGTTTATGGGAGTCGCTTCCCCACGTACTCGTTTATGGGAGTCTACTTCTAGTAGGCTTGGGGCAGCCGGTTGGGCTTGGGCTTCCGAATGACTCACAAGTGAGGGGGTGTGTTAGAATATCACTTGTGAGTTGTTCCACATCGTTCATACATGGAAAATAGACCTACCTTATAAGTCTAATGAGCTACTTCTCCTTCCACCAATTGGTTTTGGAATAGAACCCCACTTGGGATTCATATAAATTTTCCCCGTTCATGGTGCGCTTCATGTTCCGCACCGTTTTCCCCCAGTTTTTTATATACCCACATGTTTCACACACACCTATATATATATATATATATATGTATGATTGTGTGTAATTGTGTGGCTAAAACCCCGTATAGCACTACCCCTCTAGCTAAATACCAATACGTTGTGACATTACATTTATAAAGACATCATCTCTAATAATGATATGGCATTTTTTTTTTCCATCAAGTGATGATGCTCTAAGAACACTTTTTGATGTAAAAATAAGTTATTTTGATTAACTATAGTTAAATTTAAAAAATGTAGTATGTGTAGTTGTTGATTACTAGTTTTATTTTTGATGTAAAAGTATGAGATAAATGATTAAAAATGATAAATTAAAATTATGTGAGTAGATGAATAGTGAAATAAAGTTTACGTGATGTATAAGAATAATTGGTTTGTATTATTTAATTATATAAATAATATTAAAAATAGAGTTAAAATTTAGTCATAATTTGAGCATGAAATAAAGTCGAGTAAATTATTTTATAAGACCGTCTCCAACCGTACCTCAAAACGCAAAAATTGAGGGGATTTTACTCCAACCGAATCCCATTCCCGATCCCAAAATGGGTTTTTGATGTTTCTCTCCTCAAATAAACGCAAATATGCGTTTTCACTGTGCTTGGACGCAAAAATTTATTAAAATTTTATTTCTTACCCTTTGCTTTGTATAATGGCATTTTTGACTTATTAAATATTAACATAAAAATACATAAACCATCAAACTATTTTAAAATATAACTTTTTTAATTAAATACATCATAACCTAGTTTTACACATAACAAAATTAATATTATCAAATTAGTCATAAAATTGAAAATATAGCATAAAACTACGAAAAATAAAAATACATTATAAAATATTGTAATTGTTAATTCTTCATCTTGTGCATTGTAATTTTCCATTTTATTTTGTATGTTGTAATTTTAAATTTCTCATTTTGTGCATTGTAATTTTTAATTTTATCTTGTTTGTAATTTTTAAATTTTAATTTATAATACAAAATTTTTCAATTTTATTATGTATATGATATGATTAACTTTATAATTAATTTTATTACATAAATTCCAAATTGAATTTAAACTAATAGTGTGTAATTTATAAAGTTATAAAATATGTGGGTAGTATTGAAAAGTTGTAAAAATTGATGTAAAAGAAAATATTTCAAGAATATTCTTTTGGGTTTGAGAATATATTTTTCGGTTGGAGATGAATTACTGCAAAATGTGACAGTTACTGCAAAATAAGTTTGAGAATGAGTTTTTCGGTTGGAGATGACCTAAATAAATAATTCTTTGTCCTTTTCGCAAAAGAAAGAGGAATGATTTTTTTGGTCAACTACACGTACAGCAACAGTTAATAATGATTTATCCTTTTCCTGTTGTTCTACATTAATATCTTCTGTTTATATGTCAGCATTTTCAATTGCCTCGTTTCCAAAAAATAAAATAAAAAAATGGTAATGCATAACTTATTTAATTAATATTTCGATCAAATAAATTAATTAAAGCACTTGCTAGCTATTTTTTTAAAAAAAAAACGATAAAAATATTATAAAACAAAATCCACAAAGGTGGGGGACAGGAAATGAGACTTAAAATAAAAATACTCGCAACTAAACTAATCGACAACACAAACAACTAAAACAAACTACAAAGACCCCAACAGGGTAATACTCGGGTGTTGGATCCCAACGGGATAATAAATTTGACACCCGGGATCATAGAGGCCAAATGGCCCAAACAAAAAACACAAACTTAGACACAAACACAAACACAACGACAATTAAGAAAATAAATAAATAAAAATAAACGACCTCCCCGAGCAAATGAGCAGACCCCAAACAATAGTGTACGATTGACACAAAAATGATTCTAACCCAATAAACTGCTAACGAGACTGTGCAACCGCCTATACAATAGCCGAATCAGAGCCACAAACTTATAATGTGAAATTAGGGGTTTTGGAAAGACACTTATAATGTGAAATTAAAAAATAATAATAAAAATTGTGTACCAAACAAGTATTTTTTTCTCGCATATATACATACTTTCTAATTTCTAATTAAAATATCATTTTAAAAATCAATATAAACAAAAGTATATTATTTCACAACATAAATAATCATTTATATTAGAAAAGTACGACAAAAAAGACCCGCCACATCGTTAGGCCGTCTCACATAAGAATTTGTTAAAGAAGATATTGTAATTTTGAAAGAAAATTCCCAAAGTTGTGAAGGTAACAGTGCCTACAACAAACTTCTCATACTATTTTTTTCCAACAAAAATTACACTTTTTTAATAGGAAAATGTTACGGTCCCGTTACAGAACCATTCTGTCAGAATTTACAACCGTTAGATCATCATGTAACCGTCGAGATAGTTGATCTTACAGTTACAAATCTCGACAAAATAGTTCCATAACAGGACCACATCATCTCCTTTTTTTTTATAAAGAAATGTTTGTGTCCCTAAAAGTTGTGAGGACTTCTCTCCTGATAGAGCATAGACAAGTTGATCCAGTAGATGATTGATTAAGATGCATGGAAAGTGATAATTAGCATTCTAACATTCATTAAAATACACATTCAACTAAAATCATCTCCTAATTTATTCATACATCTTAGTGTTTCGATATGAACAGGAACAAGAGCAAACTACTTTCCACAATAATTCCATAACAAGCACAATGTCAGGGAGACCACAACCTTAATCTTAGAAAGATACAAACAACATCAAGTTGTACAACATTTCGTGCGAATTTGCTTGTCTCAGACGAACACACTCAATATAGGAATCGTCCCACCAACAGCAACAATCTGTTGCTTCAACTGAAATCGTGAAA